GTTGTGTGGATGTCCACCGAGACCAGGCTATTGTGGAGCGCTTCAACCGTACCCTTGCCGAAAGGTTGTTTGGGCACCGTACGCCCAGGAAATGAGGCTCCCTGAGGGCCAGAGGTCGACCGAATGGGTTGCCCGGCTACCTGCCATTGTATCAGCTCTGAACGACGAGGTGACTCGCCTGATTGGTAAAAAACCCTCTGATGCTATCAAAGCTAAGGTTGTCACACAAAAGGCCTCCTCTGTAGTTGCCGGCTGCCCCGTTGGTCTCCAGGAGCAAAAGTTCCCCTCTGGTGTGGGTGTTCGCTATCTCTACCAGCCTGGCGAGCTTGAGGGGGGTCACCGTAGGGTGCTCAGTCACCAAGCGTGACGAGCCTGTGCTCTACTATCTACTGGATGGGCCCACTCGCGGCTTTGTCCGGGAGGGGCTGCTTGTGGTACCTCCCCACACCCAGCTTACTGCTCGTACCGGTTAATCGTGCATGAGAACAGCTGCGGCTCTTTCTCGGTTACACTCTAAGCACGTGAGTCGCATGTTGTCCTTACAGTGCCCTTTACTGTTGTCAAGCCGGTCAATGCTGAACTGCTGTGTGTCCTTGGGTTGGTAGGCCCAGAGCATCTCGATGTCGCATGCCGCGCAGCGGTTCTGTTGGCTAGCTTTGCGCTGCAGAATACAGTCAACCTTGAGGTTGAACCCTGGGAGTCCTTTGGCCTGGTCCTGGCTCTTATACCCCACCAGCTTCCACTGAATGGCCTTGCGAAGTTGCTGCTCGCTAGGTTGCTGTGTGTGCCCATAGGGCACTGGCCCACCAGTTCCCTCCACTGGTGGACAGGTCACCCGTTCGAGCTGGTGCATATATTCGACCCTGGAGACTGCGAGGTATGCGAGATTGCTCCACTGGAGGTAATCATCGATAATCCAGACCTTCTGCGGGTCATGGATAGTGAGGCCTTGGGACGAGTGGACCGTGAGCGCATAGCCGAGGCGCCAGTCATCGCTGTTGCTTTGCAACGCCTCGTCTGCATTCTTGATGGTGACTTCCATAACGTCGTTCAGGACAAGCTCTTCCCTTTCGTTGGTGCCAGGAGTAGTCACCAGGATAGTTTGTTTCCGGCTGTCCTTGGGGTGATAGAGGAGGGGGGCTGGAGTGTCTGGAAATTGCTCCTTGTGTCTCTGAAACAACGGCTCCTGCGCCTTGTCTGTGACTTTTTGGCGGCTGGTGAGGATGAGATTGCCCGGCCTCCACTGTTCCACAAGTCTGTCCCACCCAAGGCAGCTGGGGAAAGCCTTTCACATCTCTCGGCACTGGACTTATCGAGTTGTAGGTGAATCGCTCTTTTCAGGGCCTTGAGGGCGTCATCTTTTGTCCTGTGGTTGACCTTGACCTCTTCGTAGTAGTCAATGTGCTCCCGGAGCCAATCATGAGGCATCTCTCCAGCAATTAGCGGTGGTTGGCCTTGGTCGCTGCAGCAGATGACTTAAACCCCATGCTGCTCCAGCCAGCCAAGGAATGTCTCCAGGATTGGCCTGGGCACGGTGCAGACCTCATCCCAGATGATAACGCGGGGGATGAACTTCTGGCCCACGCGGTCTGGTGTACACTCGTTTTGCCCACTCCAACAGAAGAAGCTGTGGTAGATCTGAGCCTTAACACCTCTGGTCCACATCTCCTTGGCCAACCGGTGGGTAGGGGTAAACACAATTGGGTCTCTCACCCTAAAGAGCTCGATCGCTCTCGTTGTCTTGCCACTGCCCCCTCCGCCGTTGAGGTAGCTGAGCTGGTGGTGTGTGAAGGGGTCGTTATAGTGGGGCGCTGTACTCGGGAGGTCTTTGTTCTGTTTTTGGTATTCTGGCTTGGGGAGGTAGGCGGCATGCTCCCGAGGCATGCACAACAGCTCCCCCTTGTCGCGCCACTGGGCTGGAGCTACCAGCGGGGGGAACGCTGTTCCGGTGAGGCAGGAGCCACACAATTCCTCACCACAGCCACAGAGCCGGGGTGGGTACGTAGGCCTCGATGCCCTCGAGCTTGTGCAGGGTTGTTTTCTGGACGTAGATGCTATCGGTGGCCTCTCGGACAGCTTCCTCGGAGTCGAAACGCGAAAGCATGCTGAGGAGATTTATATGAGCATAGGCCAGCATGCTGGCCCTCAGGTGGGTGTACTGGGGCTGTGAGCCATCGTAGTACATCAGTATGTGCCCTAAAGGGCATCTTAGGGCCGCGCCGACAAGACTACTGTCCTGGCGAGTGTCTCGGACGAGGAAATCTAGCTCACTTTTTGGTCTGTGACGAATCGTCTGGTAAGCTGCTTTCCGTCGGCCTTTGACCCTTGAGTGAACTTGCCTATGATGCTGCATCCTTGGTCACGGTCCTCGGGGAGCCAGACCTCAGTCTTGGATTTGAAGGCCACGACAGCTTCCCTGACTTTCAGATGGGTTAGGAGACCCTCCTCTACAAGATATGTAAGGAGGGGCGTGGGGGCCCAGCCCTGCTCGTCGAAGTGCTTCCCAAACCAGGCCGGGATGACGGGGTGGATGCCATCCTTGAACACCCTCTTTGCCACTTTGGCGAAGCCTGTCCCAATGTTCTTCGGGAGTTCTCCATTGATGGCCACCCTGGTCATCCGGTGGGTGGGGTGCCCAAATCTCATGAAATAAGGCCTCGCCTCGCCTTGGCCTTGGAAGCTGGTGGGGTAGCATGCTTTCATGTCGATGCTGATGATTTCGCGCGTGTCGTAGGCCATGGAGTTCCAGAGACCTCCGTGGCCATGCTCCACACGGGCCTTCTGGATATCATCCAGCATCGTGGCTGGCATTGGTTTCCAGCTGTTCTGCTCTCTAGCCACGATGCTGGTCGCGTGGTTTACCCCGAAGGCCCTTTCGGCGAGGGTCTCATCTCCTAAGAGGGTGCAGGCCTCTTGGAGTCTTTTGTGGGTCTCCTGGGTGCAGTATGTGCGCCCATCTTGCAGGACGAACTGGTCCACATTGAACTGTTTTGTTCTGTTGGAACTGCCCCCGAGGATCCAGACGGCGATTGGCTCACCTTGTGTGGCTTCTCTGATGGCTTCCCAGACGTCACCTTCGTAGATGTGGACCTGCCTGGACTGGGGGAAGTGCAGGTCTTTGGGCCAGGCATGGCCGTTGTGGACAGTGAGGTCGATATTTGCGCCGCGGGACTGGTATTTGCCGCTGTTGTAGATGTTCTCGCCAGCTATGTCCTTCAGGATGATTGCCCGCTTGAGGATCTTCTTGAGCTCTGCCACGTCATCGATTGTGGTGCCCGTCTCGTGGACTCTCTCCTCCCATTCCTGAATTTTCCGCCTCCTGGTGGGGGTAAGGCCCTCCCTCCCCCCCTCAGGGCGCCTTCAAAATGCTCCACCGCTATCTGGGCAACGCAGTTAAGGTCGCCGTCTTGGACTGGGGCCAGGTTTGCCGGGTTGGGGTCTCTAAGGGGATAGAGGCCATGCATGACAGCAGTGACGGGGTAGGCGTTCTGGTAGAACACTTTGTCAATTCCGGTCAGGACTCCTGGACTGGTGGCCCGGGTGATCTCGACAATACCCTGGCCCTTCTTTCTCTCAGCCCTCACCGGGTCAAACTTGTCTTCTACCACCCAATCACCGTTATCTCACTCGCGCAAGAACTTGATTCTCAGAACAAATTCTCCCTCTGGGAGTTCTCCCTCTGGGAGTTCTCCGAGGAGCTGTGCTGCCCTCTCGTCTGTCATACGAGCATCCAGAGCCATGCGACCGGCCCTGGCCTCGATGCCGTTGGCAATATCAACATCGCCAATGTTGAGCAGGTCTTCTGCTTCTACCCTCTATGTAGAGAAGACCGCGGAGGCGCCGTTGACTTCAAACACGTCTTTGGCATCGACCAAGAGTTCGACCCATGGTTCGTTGGCTGGCAGCCTTACTGGGGGAGGGGCCTGGATATCCAGGTCGATAAATGGTTGGTGATGCTGCTCTAGAAGAGCAAGAGCAGGGTCTGGCATTTCTGCGAGTATCTCTTCGATAAGATCGTCCATTGTCGCCATGCTGCGGGATGGGTATACCTATGTGTTCACGTTTCTCTAATACGAAATCTCTCTGGTGTCTATGGCAGCCAAGAGACGAAACTCGTCTGTAACGCTCCGCTGCTTCCCATGCCAAATCTTCAACCGAGCGCTTCCGGAACCGCAATCCTTACAAAGTGCAAGGCCCGTTTTAACACCCTTGCCGCACTCCCTACAAGCAATGGTGCCCCCACCTTTGGCCATTCGAGCGTTGTGGATCTTACACATAACCCTGATGCAGCTGCGGCCGCAAAGCGCTGTCTCTCCCAGTAAAAGCCACTGACAAGTGTTCGTCCCCTTCATCATTGTGTTCGTATCTTTCTAATTGGGAGTTGCCTATGTGTTTCTACCCCGCGGCATGTTCCGGTAGATTAAGAATTGGGAATTGTGTTTCTACCCCGCGGCATGTTCCGGTAGATTAAGGGTAGGGGATTGTGTTTCTACCCTGGGAGGCGCGACGGGCTGATTTAGCTGGTCTGTTCGGCATGACTGCTGCTGTAGCTTGGCTTCCATAACCACCTGTGATAGAGAATTCACTATCGTTTGAGTGAGGAAATCTTTCTTCATCTTCCCAACCAGGGAAAGCATCCTCCTTGCATCTGGTCTCTCTAGCCTTGTTAAAATTGTATGTTTCAATCAGATCCCCTCTCCTCCCTCTGATCTCTGATGACTACAGGCCCAGTAGAACCAAATTCTTCTCCTCGGCAGCCGTCCCAGTTACGAGCTTTATGAACCTCCATGACGCCCTCTATGGCAACAAATTCTTTCCGTTAGGAAGAGCAAAATTGCATACAGTACTCCAGCTGTGGTCTCACCAAGGTTCTGCATAGCTGCAGTAAGACATCCCAATGTCTGAACACAAGTCCTCCATACCATTTTTCCTTCATCCATGTGTGAAACTGTTTTGTTAATAATGACTGTAGTGAAATGTTGCATTTTTTCTTGTTCCAGTGACACTGAGACATTCCTCTTTACCGCTGAATAAGAACTCGTCCAGCTGAAGAATTTCATGAGGAGGACTGAGGGGATACCGTGATGGAAGGCTCTTCAACTCCCCACAGCTCTAGGCCTACCCCTTCCCGGAAGCGGGAAGGGAGTGTTGAAAGCCGGGGTAGGTCATGTGTCCGAGTGACTTCTAAGCCAGTGAGGAAAGTGCGGCGAACAGTGAAGTGGAACACCAGGGACTACACGATCCATGATACTGACAACGACATGCTCTTGATCATATCTAATGAAAACGGGATGCAGAGGAGGCCAAGAAAACTGGCAGGGAAGAAAAGCAGCCGCAAGTTAAGCACACAGTGCAGCTCCCACAAAAACAAGGGGCTCCTGAAAAATGCAGGGTTGAAGGAGGCCAACTCTTTGAGCTTGGCAGGTCAGGATAAGCAAATAGATTCAGATCTGGAGCCTGAGAAGCCAGAAGTCTTGGACCGATGGGGCCAGCAGCTTCCAATTGAAGTCTTGGTTCACATCTTCCACTATGTAGTGTCATCGAATGGGGCCGTACCATTTCTCTGCAGGTAAAAACATTGTGAGAGAGAGGATTTCTTTCTTGTTGAAATGTAACCTGCTGCTGCAAACTGCAGGGGTGGCAAGATGGGAGAATCTGACACTGCAGATATTTTTTGTTAAATAGTTTCCCCTTTTGTAAAGACTCTTTAAGGATAAAGACTTTCAGATAGAATTGTTTAGCCATGTCTTATAAGAGCTTGGATCATGATTAGATCTAGTCTTTATAGTTTTGCCATAGCTGTCTGCTCTCATCTCAGACTTTAAATTCTGTACTTCAGCCTGTGTGGTTGTTTGAGTTGATCTGCTGAAGCTTTCTTTTGTTTTTAAACAGGATGGCCCGTGTATGTCATCTGTGGTATGGTGCTGCTGCCAACCCCAAACTCTGGCAGAAAGTCACAATCTCCTATTGCTGGGTGGAATCTGGAAAGAAATTGGTGCCGCCAGTTCAGAGAAAAATCCAAAACACCCTCAACTGGCTGAAAGACAACCGGTTTGTATAAATATGATTGCTGAAGAAGCCATGTTGCTTGGGGTGCGGGTGGGGAAACATAGAAAACAGGTGCAGGAGTAGGCCATCCGGTCCTTTGAGCCTGCACCACCATTCAATATGATCATGCAATTTCCGTATCCCATTCCCGTTTTATCTTCGTGTCCTTTGATCCTTTTAGCTGCAAGGGCTATGTCCAGCTCCCTCTTGAATATATCTAATGAACTGGCCCCAACAGCTTCCTGTTGGAGAGAATACCATAGGTTCACAACTCTGAGTGAAGAAATTCTTCCTCATCTCAGTCCTGAATGGCTTACCCCTTATTCTTAGACTGTGACCCCAGTCTTGGATTTCCCAAACATTGGGAACATTCTTCTTGCATCTAGCATGTCCAGTCCCATCAGGATTTTGTTTGTTTCTATGAAATTCCCCTCATTCTTCTAAATTTCAGCGAGTGCAAGCCCAGTCGATCAAGTCTTTCTTCATAGGTCAGTCAAAATGGGGAAATGGGAGTGTAAGTGGTTGGATCAGTATGTGGTATTTTCTAACAGGACCAACTGTTGGAACAGCAAGCAGCAAAAAAGTTACATTATATATCCCAAGGAAGAAGGAACATGCGAAGGGGAGATTGAGGCAGTTGTGGCTGACAAGGGAAGTCAGGGACAGTATAATAACAGAGGCACACAATGCGGTGAAGAGTAATGGGAAGCCAGAGGTATGGGAAACCTTTCAAAACTAGCAGAGGATAACTAAAAAAAGCAAATAAGGAGGAATAAGATGAAATATGATAGGAAGCTATTTGTAATATTAAAGAAGATTACAAGAGTGTTTTTAGATGTCTAAAAGGTAGGAGAGAGGCAAGAGTGGACATTAGACTGTTGGAAAATGAGGCTGGAGAAGTAATAATGGGGAAGAAAGAAGTGGTGGAGGAACTGAATAGGTGCTTTGTATCAGTTTCCGCAGTGGAAGATACCAGCAGCAATGCAGAACCTCGAGACGGGGTAGAGGTGAGTGTAAGAAGGTGCTGGGCAAGCTGAAAAGTCTGAAGGTGGCTAAATTACCCAGACCAGATGGACTAAACCTGAAGGTTTAGTGAAGGAGATAGCTGATGAGATTGTGGATGCATTGATGGTGATCTCTCAGGAATCACTGGAGTCAGGAAGAGTGCTAGAGGACTGGAAAATGACTAATGTAACACCCTATTTAAGAAGGGAGGGAGGCAGAAGAAAGGAAACTAAAGGCAGCTTGACCTGACCTTAGTCACTGGTAAGATTTTAGTGTCCGTTATTAAGGATGATATTGCGCAGTACTTGGAAGTGCATGGTAAAATAGGGCAGAGTCAGCATGGCTTTGTCATAAGGAGGTCACGTCTGACAAATCTGTTAGAATTCTTTGAGAAGGGAATGACCAAGTTAGACAAAGGAGAGCCAGTGGACATGATCTGTTTGGATTTTCTGAAGGACCTTGACAAGATGTAGCACAGGAGGCTGCTAGAAAATGAGTCCATGGTGTTAAGGACAAGTTTTTGGCATTGACAGAGGATTTGCTGCCGGGCAAAAGGTAGAAGTAGGAATAAAGGGATCCTTTTTCAGGATGGCCGTTGGTGACTAGTGGAGTTCTGCAGGAGTTAGTGTTGGGACCGCAAGTACCCATGATGTAAATTAATGATCTGAATGAAGGAACTGCGGCATTGTTGCTAAGTTTGACACAAAGATAATTGGAAAGACCGGTTTGGTTGAGGAAGCAGGGTGGCTTCAGAATGATCTGGGCAAAAATGGACGCAATGTTGGAAAATATAAGGTCACTTTTGGAGGAAGAATAAAGGTGTAGACTATTTGCTAAATGGGGAAAGGCTTTGGAAGTTTGAAGAACAAAGGGATCTGAGATGCCTAGTTCAGGATTCTGTTCAGTTTAACATGTAGTTCAGTTGGGAGTTAGCATTCATTCCAAGAGGGCTAGAATACAAGAGTGGAGATGTATACTGAGGCTATACGAGGCTCTGGTCAGACCGCATTTGGAATATTGAGAGCAGTTTTGGGCCTATATCTAAGAAAGGATGTGCTGGTGTTGGAGGGGGTCCAGAGGAGACTCACTAAAATGATCTTGGGCATGAAAGGCTTGTCATATGAGGAGCGTTGATGACTCTGGGCCTGTACTTGATGGAGTTTAGAAGGAGGACTAGGGGATTTGATTGAAACTTATGGAATAGTGAGAGGCCTGGATGGATTGGATATTGAGAAGATGTTTCCACTAGTAGGAGAGATTATGACCTGAGAACACAGCTTAAGAGTGAAGGGATGACCATTTAGAAGTGAAATGGCGAGTAATTTCTTCAGCCAGAGGGTGGTGAATCTGTGGAACTCCTTGCTGATTAGGGTTGTGGAGGCCAAGTCATTGAGTGTATTTAAGATAAAGATAGATAGCTTCTTGATTCATAAGGGGATCAGGGTTACGGGGAGGAGGAGGAAGTTGGATTTGAGAAACATATCAGCCATGATCGAATGGTGGAGCAGACTTAGAGTCAAGGAGTAATACAGCATGGACAAACTGGTCCGTGCTGACCATGGTGGCCACTCGGCTAGTTTCAATTGCCTTCATTTGGTCTGTATCCCTCTGAACCCTTCCCATCCGTGTACCTATCCAAATGTTTTTTAGATGTTGCTATTGTACCTGCCTCAACCACTTTTTCTGGCAGCCCATTCCATTTACGCACCACTCTCTGCATGAAGAAGTTGCCCCTCAGGTTCTTCATAAATCTTTCCCCTCTCACTTTAAACCTATGCCCTCTAGTTTTCAATCCCCATCCCTGGTAAAAAGACTATATGCATTCATCCTATCAATGCCCCTCATGATTTTGTACACTTCAATAAGGTCACCCCTCAATCTCCTACATTCCAAGGAATAAAGTCCTATCCTGTCCAACCTCTCCTTATAACTCAGGCCTACTAGTCCTGGCAACATCCTCATAAATCTTCTTCGCACACTTTCCAGTTTAACAATCTCTTTCCTATTACAGGGTAACCAAAACTGTACACAATACTCCAAGTGTGGCCTCACCGAAAACTTGTACAACTGTAACATAACGTGCCAACTCCTGTACTCAATACCTCGATCAATGAAGGTCAGCATGCTAAATGCTGCCTTCACCATCGTGTCCACCTGTGATGCTGCTTTCAGCAAACTATGTACTTATACTCCCAGTCCCTCTGCTCCACAATACTCCTTAGGACCTTACCATTTACTGTTTAAGTCCTACAACACTTTACAAAGTGCAAGACCTCATACTTATCTGTATTGAATTGCATTTGCCAATCCTCAGCCCACTTCCCCATCTGATCAAGATCCCTCTGTATTTTTTGATAACCTTCTTTGATATCAACGATACCTCCTCATTTTGTATCATCTGCAAACTTACTAATCATGCCTTGTACATACACATCCAGATCATTTATATAAATAACAAAAGTCCCAGCACTGATGCCTGTGGCACACCACTAGTCACAGGCCTCCTGTCTGAGAAACAACGTTCGACCATCACCCTCTGCTTCCTACCATCAAGCCAATTTTGAATCCAATTAGCTAGCTCTCCCTGGATCCCATTTGACCTAACCTTCAACTAGCCTGCCATGCGGGACCTTGTCAAAGGCCTTACTAAAGTCCAGATAGACAACGTCCACTGCCCTACCCTCATTTATCCTCTTGGTCACCTCTTCGAAAAACTCTTAAAAGACTTTCAGACATGACATCCTATGCACAATTCCATGCTGACTATCCCTAACCAGACCTTGACTATCCAAATGTTGGTTGATTCTGTCCCTCAGTATCCTCTCCAATAACTTGCCTACCACTGATGTCAGGCTCACTAGCCTATAGTTCCCTGGCTGTTTTTGCTACCGTTCTTAAACAATGGAACGACATTAGCCACCCTCCAGTCTTCCAGAACTACATCAGTGGCTAAAGATGAAGCAAAAGTCAATGCAAGGGTCTCTGCAATTTCTTCTCTAGCCTCCCAGAACATCCGAGAATGGACTTCAGGCCATCCCCTCCGGTTCAAGTGCAACCTGTCCCTCTTGTACAGGTCAGCTCCACCCCAGAAGAGATCCCAATGATCCAAGGACTGAAAACCCTGCGCCTGCACCAGCTCCTCAGCCATGCACTCATCTGGATATTTCTATCCTCACTGGCGCATGTCACTGGGAGTAATTCGGAGATCACTACCCTTGAGGTCTTGCTTTTTAACTTCTTACCAGCTCCCTGTACTCACTTCGCAGGACCCCATCCCTTTGTCTACCTATGTCGTTTGTACCGTTGTGCAGAATGACCTCTGGCTGTTCACCCTCCACTTGATGGACCGAATGGCCTAATTCTGTTCCAGTACCTTATCGTCTTATGGCTTTAAAATTAATATTGTAACAGTCTGTAGGAGCTTCATGGTAGTGTTACCAAACAAAATTTGACGTCAAGCCACATTAAGAGATGTTTGGGGCAGTTGATGGATTTTGGTATTGAGGAACATTTTAAGGTCAAAATCCAGATAGTTACCAACATGGCCATTGGTGAAGTGAGGGAGAGATGACCATAGATGGAAGATTTCTACTGTCTCAGTGTTATGGAGTGGTGAGATAATGAGGAATGAGACCACAGAAGGATTTGAATTTAAGGCTGTGACATTTGAGGTTTTGTAAGATTGAGAGCTAATGTTTGTCAATAGCGTGGGTGATGGTTAAATAGGACTTGGGAATGGGGTAGGATATAGCATCAGGATTTTGAGTGAAGCGACTGTTAAGGAGCTGTGGCTCCAAGCCTCTTTCCCATCTCTTAAAAAATACGATCTTGTCCAAGCATTTGGACTGCACTCTCTTCTTTTGGCCCCATCTCCTTTTCCCACAATGATTCCCTGAACCTCTCAGGCCATTTAAGGGTTATAACTGGTGTGAGGCGGAAAGTCCGAATTATTTCCAGTAGCAAAGCAAGAGATGTTTAAATTACTTTAACATTGGAATTTTCACGCCCTGGTTCTTAGACTTCAGGCTAAGCGAATCATTTCCGTTGTGCTAAGTTGCTGGCTTTCATAATGAAGGAGTCAGTCTTGAGGTGGTAAGTTTTACTGTTATAACTCATTTAATCTGCATTTCTTTTTAAATGTACAGGTTTTCACAGCTTCGGGAATTCTCTCTCTGCAACTGGAATAATCTAGTGAGTTACACCATGAAGGTAAGACTGACAATCGAGTGTCTCTGTACACAAAAACAAAAGTTGCTGGAAAAGCTTAGGAAGTCTGTCGGCAATTGTGAAGAGAAATCAGAGTTAACATTTCGGACCTGGTGACCGGAAGCTTCGCCAGCAACTTCTGTTTTTGCTTCTGATTTACAGCATCGACATTCTTTCATTATTTTAATGAATGTCTCTGTACAGTTGGATTAACAATACACAGTTTGTAATTCATGTGAAGTCATATTTGTAGGAATATCCACTAATGCTAAGTCTCTAAATCTCACTTAAATATCAGTGAATATCTGCCAATAGTTCTCAATTCACTGGAACTAATATAGAATTATGTTTTCATTTAGTATTTTGTATCTTGTTTTGGTTAATTCTGTTATATACTTTGCAAACAAAGGAAAGGAATGATTAATACTAATCAACTTAGCTGGCAAAAAAAATGTGTATTTAAAGAAGACAAAGGCACAGACTGCTTGCTTCTATGTGGGAGTTGTTAATCCGAGGACATTGTTACAATAACTGGTGTTGGTGGTGGGCCATTGATTAAAGTACAGTTCTACTGTTGCCATTAAACTACACTGTGTTTCAGGTTTTTTTTCTTTATTCATTCATGGGATGAGGGCATCGTTGACCAGGCAGCATTTATTGCCCATCCCTAATTGCCCAGAGGGCAGTTAAGAGTCACCACATTGCTGTGGGTCTGGAGTCACACGTAGGCCAGACCAGGTAAGGATGGCAGTTTCCTTCCCTCAAGGGCACTAGTAAACCAGAGATAGTGGGGACTGCCGATGCTGGAGAATCTGAGATAACAAGGTGTAGAGCTGGATGAACACAGCAGGCCAAGCAGCATCAGAGGAGCAGGAAAGCTAACGTTTCGGGTCTAGACCCTTCTTCAGAAAATAGTGAACCAGATAGGTTTTTCCAACAGTCGACATTGGATTCATGGTCATCATTAGATTCTTAATTCCAGATATTTATTAGATTAAAATTCCACTATCTGCCGGGGCAGGTTTCGAACCCAGGTCCCCAGAACATTATCTGGGTCTCTGGATTAACAGTCCAGCGATAATACCACACCATCACCTCCCCGAGCATGCTTGATAAGGAGAGAAGTGGAGCTTTATCCCACAATGTAAAAATGATATTGGTTGAATTTTTTATCAGGGGTTTTTATCAGTTCTATACTTATCTGATTTGTCACCTAATGTTGAGGTAGGATGTAAATGGGAGGGAACATTCATCCTGGAACTGAATCTAATTCCCATGATATTCCATATAACATTACCCCATCCTGTTTGACATGGAAGCAGTGTTCTTGGTCTTGCTGTTGCTTCAGTGTTTTTGCATTATTACTGAAAAGAGAGATGTGTTGCTGAAGCTTTTTGTCTTGAACTTGTCAGGACAATTGCAAGAATACCAAATTTCAAACCATCACTGCACTTGATATCACAGGAGGAAAGAGTGCTGATTGTCTCATATGTTGACTTAAACTAAACAAGTTGTTACCATGGAGAATGCCACGGGTGACTACAGCTCTCTAGATGACCTGACTCAAAAAAATATTCCTTTTGTTTTCAGAGAATGCGTCTATTGACTTGAATATACGTTTATTCCAGTAAGAGTAAATGAGACATGTGACTTCCAGTGATTGTATTAAATTGATTATTAGTGTAGCTGTTAGGGCACTCAGTTCTTCAAAAAGTGTTGCCCAATCATGGAATTGCATTTAACTATAGAGACTTTCTTTTGAATTTTACATACACAGCTGGTTGCTTATGGTGTGTTATCTGCCTATTACAAACCACCGAGGGAACATACTGTTTGATTCGACCAGTCAATTACTGGATCATGTAGCGTATGTACGGCCATTGTACTGACACTAAAATTTCTACACTATGTTACTCAACTATATGAAATGCAGAATGGCTTTTTGGCTACACTTTGCTCAACAATCCTCTGGTTAATAAAGATGCTGAAGGGGAGCATTTTTAAGAGATAAAAAAGTGGTGAAATGTGGTAGGTCAGAAGATTTGGGAAACTTTTAAGGAACCAGCAGATGATTAAAAAACTGATAAAGAGGGACAAAAATTGGTTATGAAAGTAAATTGGCAGTAAATAATGAAAACAATCATTAAGAGCTTCTGCAGGTGTAAAAAAGAGAGTAGCTAAAGTAAGTATTAGCCTTTTATTAATTTCTCAGTCACATCTTCCAAGGTTCCCACAGTGAAATTCCACATAATTGAAACCATTATTTTGTGTCGGGCTTCACGATGGAAGACATTATAAGTATCCCAAACGTAACAGATGAGCAAAAAGCTAATGGGAGAAAAGATCTTGGAACAGTCTTTTTCATGAGTGACAAATTATTTGACAAACTAATGTGACTAAAGGCGGCAAGCCATTAGGACCTGATGACCTGCATCCAAGGCTTTTGACAGAAGTGGCTGCCAGGATAGTGGAGATATTGATCAAAATATTGCACTGGAATCCGAGAGGGTTCCAGCAGATTTGAAAACTACAAATGTTGAACCCCTGTTCCAGAAGGGAGGAAGCAGGAAAGTATAGGCCAGTGAGTCTCACTTTTGTCATTGGGAAATAGCTAAAGTCCATTATTAAGGAAGAAATAGATCCTTAAGAGAGCTTAACATAGTCAAAGTCAACTTGGCTTTGTGACAAGGAAATTGTCTGACAAATTTGCTCGAGTTCTTTGAGCATGTAACAAGTAGATGAAAGGAAACTGGAAGATGTAGTGTATTTTAGTTTCCAGAAGGCATTCAGCAAAGTGCTACATAACAGGCAATAGTACAAGGTTGGAGCTCACAGTAATGGAGGTAATATAATTGCATGAATTGTGGATTGGTCACATAACGAGTGGAATGCCACAAGGGTCAGTCCTAGAGCCTCAGTTATTTATGATTAATTAATTGGAATGGGGGTAAAGTGTAATGTATCCAAATTTGATGACAATACAAAAATGCATGTGGTGATGATGACAAGGAGTCTGCAAAGGGATGTAGATAGACTGAGTGAATGGGCAAAAACTTGACAGATGGAATTTAATGTCGGAAAGTTATGACGTCATGGTCTTTGCTATGAAGAGTCAAAGGCAGAAGATTGTTTAAATGGAAAGATACTCCACAAAAAATGAGCACAAGGATCTAAGTGTTCTTGTGCACAAAGCACTAAGTTAATATGCAGTAATTGAAATGAAATTGTACTTTGTTTTTTATTGCAAGGGGTTGGAATTTGAAAACAGGGAAGTCCTATTACAAGTGTGTAGAGTGTTGGTGAGGCTATATCTGGAGTACTATGTAAAGTTTTGGTCCCTGTATTTAAGAAAGTATAGAAGAAATGCAGCAAGGACTTCCTGAAAGCGCCTCCCTTAACCAGTGCAACATTCTCACCAACATATGGGGAATCACTTGCTCTAGAATGCACAAACTGGAGAAGGAGCATCGGTGAAGGCGCCAAGCACTTGATTGATTTATTGTCATATTTATCGAAATACAGTAAAAAGCTTTGTTTACGAGTAATACAGGCAGTTCACAGCAAGCAAAGGATGTACAGATCACAAAGACATTGCAGGTTACATTATTTGAGGCCAGAGTCCATTCAACAGTCTGATAATGACCGGATAGAAGCTGTTCCTGAACCTGCTCGTGTGTGTAAATGGAGTCTATGGATGGAAGGTTGGCTTCTGTGATGGCCTGGGCTGTGCACACCATCTTCTGTAGTTTCTTACGGCCCTGAGATTAGCAGTTGCCATACCAGGCAGTTATGCACCCGGACAGTATGCTATCAGTGGTGCATCTGTAGAAGTTGGTGAGGGACCTTATGCACATACCAAATTTCCTGAGCCGCCTGAGGAAGAAGAGGCGTTGTTGTGCCTTCTTGATTGTCGCATTTATGTGGTAAGTCTAGGACATGTTGTCGGTTATCGTCACTCTGAGGAACTTGATGCTCTTCACTCTCTCAACCTCAGTTCCATTGATGTAGATGGGGGCGTGTTCTCCTCCTTTCTTTCTGAAGTCGATGATCAGTTCTTTAGTTTTGCCGAAGTTGAGAGACAGATTGTTTTCACTGCACCAAGTCACCAAAGCCTTTATCATCCTTCTGTATTTTGACTTGTCATTGTTAGTTATCTGTCCCACTACGGTGGTGTCATCAGTGAATTTGCAGATGGTGTTTGTTTGGAATTTGGTAACACAGTCGTAGGTGCACAGGGAGTACTGTAGGGGGCTGAGAATGCATCCTTGGGGGTGTTCCAGTGTTGAGTGTTATTGTGGAGGAGGTGCAGTTATCCTCACTGATGTGGCCTGTGAGTCAGAAAGCTGAAGGTCCAGTTGCAGAGGGCAGAGCCGAGACCAAGGCCACACAGTTTTGAGATCAGTCTGAAGGGGGTAGTGGTGTTGAAGGCGGAGCTGTAGTCAACGAGTCAAGCATGTTGAGTCCAAACACAAGCAGTAGAAACAGTGTGCAGAATCCAGAGCATCCTACCTACCCATCTACCTCATGAAACACCACCTGCCCCAGCTGTAGCAGACCCCAGTGTTCCAGGTTTGGATTATTCAGCCACTGTAGAACCCCACCCTAACCACTGGACTGGTTACAAGTCATTCCTAACCTTGAGGGCCTGCCAATGATGGAAGATTATGACATTGAAGACTGTGCAGAAGAGATTCTTAAAGTTGATTCCCGGGGCAAAGGGGTTCACTTTTATCAAGAATGGATGAATAGGTTAGGTCTTTATTCATTAGACTTTAGAAGAATGATGGATGATCATATTGAACCATACCAGATTCTGAAGGGGCTTGACAGGGTAGATGTTATTTCCGTGTTTCTACTACTGAGGGAATCTTGAAATAGAAGGCATTCATTTAAAACTGAGATGTGAAGGAATTTCTTCTCCCAGAGGTAGTGAATGACTGGATTTCTGTACTCTAGAGTTATGGAGGCTAGATCACTGAAAATATTTAAAGTTGAGATTTTTGAAGTATCAGGAGATGAGGGCTGTGAGGAGCTGGCAAGAAAGAGGAGTTGATGCCTAGAGCACATCAGCCATGGTCTTTTTGAATGTTGTAGCAGAATAGAGGGGTTGAATAGCCTGCTCCTGCTTCTATTTTTATGTCGTTATGTATTGCTGAGCACTGTAATAGCTACACTTGCAACTAATTTAAGATAATTGAGCTTGTGATATGGCTCATTTACAAGTATTAGAAATAAAATATTTGCATACACAGGGACACATTGTCCTGAAAACTAAAGGAATGTATTCAAGGGGGTGGTGTGGTTTACAGTTTCCCGTTGCTGTCTCAGTGGCAAAACCTTGGCTAATTGGAATCTAAATGTCAGTCAATCACCCTTTTTTTCTGTCAGATAAATTGTTGTGATGTTTTGTCCTGTTGAGTCCAAGATGAAAAGCTTTGGCAATATGTTTAATTTTATCCACTCTTCTGAGCAAGATTCATGTTCTGTAGTATCAAGTGACCATTTTTACATATCAGCACTGCTGTTTTCTTCTTTCCAGACCGTTACTGAATCCTGTCCTCACTTAGCCTCACTGCGACTGACCAACTGCACTGGTGTCACATCTGATGTCTTTGAAGCATTGGCCACCCATTGCCAGAAGCTGGAAAGTTTAAACCTGCAGCATTCAGTGGTAAGTGAGCTACTTGTGAATTGTTAGCTTACACTCCAGTTAGTGCAGAATTGCACCAGTTTAAATAAGAGGAGTTTAGTCAGCCTGTCACGCCTAGGCTGATAATAATTCATTGTATCTTTCATTATTTTTAACCAAACTTGATATAAAAAAAAGTCCCTTTCATTGTAGTCGACCTTACTTCAATGACTGTTTCCTGATTTTACACATTGGGAAAACCTTTGTTTTTACTACGAAACTCTGCGTCTATGTCTATTGTTACTGATTCACTAACCACTACAGACAGTCTTATACCTTAGTGTAATTCCTAGGAGTTTTGTACTAATATAAGTCTAATCAGCCTATAGTTACCCTTTTTAATTTTGAAATTACAGATAGTGACGTTTGAAATAGATACAGTAGCTCATGTGGCCCCTTGAGAGCAATCAGTAAATGGCTAATCTGATTGTGGTCTGGCCTTCACTTTTGTGCTTCCCCTCCAATAACTCTTGAGCTCCTATAGGTGCGAATTCTGTGTAACTTGTGCAGACCCGGAGTTTATAGGATGGTTGTAGATTTTAGTTGGATATGAGGCAAAAATTCAATTTCTGGATGGTGGATTAAGGTGTTTATATTAAGTTCTCCGTGCTTTTTCAGGTTGGTTAGGTTACTAATATTTATTAATACTCAGCCCCTGCAGTAATATTCGTGGGCACAATCTTGTTGGCTAAGAATGAGGCAACAGCTGAGTTCACAAATTCAATCATATATCTGAGGGTGGGGACTGCTTCCTGCAAGTTCCAGTGAGTACAAATTTCACTAATTTGGCTCCTTCGTGAACAAGCTGTTACTTTATGAAATCATTTCCAGTTTTAGGAGTGAAGTCATTCTATTTTGATCAGCCCATGAGAAATCTCAGTCATATGCAGCCTAAGTTGTTAAATGGTTACATGGTTAAGGCTGCGAACAAGCAAACAAGCCTGCCCAGGTGACACAGCCACACTGGTTAATACTAGTAAATCTGGCTGGGGCAGGCAAGCATGCTTGAACTCAAAAGGGGGCTCTACTCAAAACTTTGTGGTTGTGTCCATGACCCATACAAGTCTTGGGTGATAACTAGGAGACTGTACACATCCACTAACTTAGAACGAGAGATCATAGTTTTAGGAGAAGGGTTAGCAGATTTAAAACTGAGATGAGGTAAATTATTTTTCTCAAATGGCCATGAATTTGTGGAATTCTCCACCCTAGAGCAAGTTGGATGTTGGGACATTGGGTAAATTTAAGGAGGAGATTGACAGATTTTTGATTAGCAATGGCTTGAATGTTATGGAGAATGAGCAAGAAAGTGGAGTTGAGGCCGAGATGAGATCAGCCATGATTGTATTAAATGGTGTATCCAACTTGAGGGGCTGAATTGCCTACTCCTGCTCCTAGTTCTTATAAAGTAGGCTGTTTGACTGTTCAAACCTGCTTTGCCATTCTACAGGATTATGACTGATGTGACATTCCTCACGTTCACTTTCCTGTGTTTTTCCCATAACGCATGATTCTCTTATTGATCAAGAATCTGTCGATATCTGTCTTAAATATACACAGGACATTGCCCCTACAGCTTTCTGCGGCAAGGAGTTCCAAAAACTGCCAACCCGCTGAAAGAAGAAATACCTCCTTAACTCATTTTTAAATAGGCACCCCTTTATCTGAGGCTATGCCCGCTCATCCTGCACGATTTGTCACCAAAGTCAACTTGTGGAAAGGATATTGGTGCGTTCCATTGACTGAGAACCAGATAAATATCAGCCATTGTAACAATGTGTGGACTTTATCAATGCAAAGACATGCTGTTTGGAATGAAAATGTATCAGTAACATTCCAGTGAATTCTTACGAGGGACCATGTTACATTGCCTTGTATTTCACCAGACCTGGATTTAGGCAGGATTTTTATGCAAGCTGTTAAGCCCCTGCTAAACAGTTTATCAAATGGTGTTAGTGCAGGTTAAATTGATGTCTGTGAATGATATGCCTGGCAGAATTTGAGCACATTTTTAAGTAATCCTCACCAGTAAAAGTGCTTTCATGATTTAGCGTTTGTTTTTTGAATACTTAAGCGACTTTTGTAACTTTGTATTCCACTCATAAAATTTCATTACGGTACACAGATAAAAATACAATCTGATGGAGCATTGCCAATTCCTCAACTGCTCGTGGTCTCTATTTCCTTGTTTGTATTTTGTCTTTCAACTAATAGCACTCACATATTGATTCTATTCAATATTTGAGTAGGCTGTTACAGCTCACAATTAAGAATCCATTCGTTGCATTCTAATTAAAGGAGATGAGCTAAACATTCTCTTTATTTTCACGCCTTTTTTGTTTAAATTTGAACTTTTTTTGTTGTCTGCTTTTCTTCCTGTTTAACTTTACGGGCCTGTGATCTAATCACAACACAGTTTGTGTTCCTCCTGCCGCATCTGTTACTTTTACATCCCCTGGTTATTCCGCCACACTTGGTGAAACCAATATTTTTCAACCAAACAAGATAATTTCTTGAGATAAAATCAATTCCTTCTATCGGGATTTGTTTCACTACTCCCAACTAGAAATCTTCTATTTACTAAGCCACTCCAAATTTGTGTAATGGGACTGACTTGTAATCTCCATGTATACATCATCTAATTAATATTATCATCTTCATTAACCCCCATCAAAGATAAAGGTTGTTATCAGCCAGCATCAGTGACTTGCTCCAGTGTCTGTCAATATCTTTGCTGGTTTACCTCCTTGATTGGAAGCATTTAAAAAAAATCTCTTTTGAAATATCTGGAGTTTAATCTGGACAAGCATGGGAGGTCCAATGTGACAGAAAAGTGTTCAGTAAATGGCAGGACCCTTGGGAGCATTGATATACAGAGGGATCTTGGGGTTCAAGTCCATTGCTTCCTAAAAGTGGCAACACAAGTGGATAAGGTGGCAAAGGTGATGAACGGTATGCATGCCTTCATCAGTCGGGACATTGAGCGTAAACATTAGCAAGTCATGTTGCAGCTGCATTAAACTTTAGTCAGGCCAAATTTATAGTTTTGGTCACCATACTACAGGAAAACTTTCTGGAGGCTTTGGAGGGTTTCCAATAGAGGTTTACCAGGATGTGTTAGCTTTAAGAAGAGGTTGGACTGATTTGGATTGTTTTTGCTAGAGCTTTGGAGGTTGGAGGCATTTAAAATTATGAGAGGCGTGGATAGGGTATATAGTTGGGAGTCTTTTTCCCAGAATGGAAATGTCAAATACTCGGAAGCATAGGACTAAGGTGAGGGGGACAAGTTTTTAAAGGAGATGTGTTGAGGCAAGTTTTTTACACAGATAATGGTAGGTGCCTGGAAACTGCCAGGGGAAGAGGTAGAAACACACATGAAAGGAGAAATTTAGGTAGACACATGAACTGGCAGGGTACAGAGGGATATGCGCCATGTGCAAGCTGATGGGATTGGTTTAGAACAGCATCACGGTTAACACAGACAGAGTGGGTGAAGGGCCTGCTCCTTGTGCTATACAGATTTGTGTAATAGAATGTTTGGCATCCCCAGTAGTCTGACTGTCTTTATGAATAATTGGAGAAGAATTTTCTTACCTGTCCGCCTCTTATTACATTCTAAGAAAACATGTTCTTTTTGTGGTACTGCTACAGTTTTAATACTAATTTTCTTTGTTAATTTCTCCCTCTTGTGAGGATTCCTAAGACACTCCTGTTACTGTAATTGGTCTCCCATTTAACATTCGATGATCGACTTTGATACATCCAGTCTTATTACAGTAAAAACATGTTATTTTCTTTATATCACTTTTTGGGTCTAGCCTTTCCCCTTTTACTGCACTGGCATTCTTTTGGTTGTGCTCTAGCGCGAATACCTGTTTCATTCACAGTTTTTCTATTTTGCAATTCATTTGAGGATTTCCATTTGACCATCTCACACCTAATAGCTGTTTGTGAGAGACACTATGGTTATCTGCCAGAACTTGTTGCCTCTCTGAACTTTGATACTTCATGATCATCTAAATAATTTTAGGCTTGCAAGAATGTTACTTCTGAACTTTTCAATGATGATAATTTTTCTTGCATTCTCAATTTTTTCTGTAATTTCAGCGATCAAAACCACTGATTCGGTTACATTTAGAAACCTAAAAAATTCTAACTGGACCAGACAGGGTTAATGCAGGAAGGACTTTCCAGATGACCAGGGAGTCCAGAGCTTTTTTTTTGTTGCCCTTCCCTGATTGCCCAGAGGGCAGTTAAGAGTCAACAGCATTGCTGTGGGCCTGGAGTCATATGTAGGCCAGACCAGGTAAGGATGGCAGTTTCCTTCCCTAAAGGACATTAGCGAACCAGATGAGTTTTTCCGACAATGGATTCACAGTCATCATTAGATTCTTAATTCCAGATATTTATTGAATTCAAATTCCACCATCTGTCATGGCGGGATTCGAACCCTGGTCCCCAGAACAGAGGAGACTTAACAGGATGTTGCCTGGAATGGAGGGAAGGTCTTACGAAGAAAGGTTGAGAGAGCTGGGGCTTTTCTCTTCAGAACGACGAAGGATGAGAGGTGACTTAATAGAGGTGTACGAATGATCAGAGGTATAGATAGAGTGGACAGCCAGAGACTTTTTCCTAGGGTGGAGGTAGCTATTACAAGGGGGCATAGTTTTAAAGTGAATGGAGGTGGATACAGGGGAGACATCAGAGGTAGGTTCTTTACTCAGAGAGTGGTCAGGGTGTGGAATGCATTGTCGGAGAGGGTAGTGGAGTTGGCCTCATTAGGGTCATTTAAGTGGCTATTAAATAGGCATATGGATGATAGTATAAGGTAGGGGTGGAGGTTAGATAGACCTTAGGTTTAGGGTAAAAGTTCGGCACAACATCATTGGCCGAAGGGCCTGTACTGTTCTATGTTCTATGTTTATTGTCTGGGTCTCTGGATTAACAGTCCAGCGATAATGCCACTAGGCCATTGCTTCCCC